GAACATAATTCAAACAGATTTGGGAAGCTACAGTGTAGGGCTACAACTTTCTTTTTTTGACTATTTTTGGTAATTGGTCATGTGACCACCCTCCAGGCAAACCCATTGCATGGACCCTGACATGTGGGATACATTTGAAAAATTGCAATGAAATGCCCAGGGCTCCATTTGAAAAATTGCAATGAAATGCCTGGGGCTACATTTGAAATTTTGCAATGAAATACCAGGGTATCTATTGAAAAATCACAATGAAATACCCAGGGATACATTTGAAAAATCGCAATGAAATGCCAAGGGTATCTATTGAAAAATCGCAATGAAATACCCAGGAATACATTTGAAAAATCGCAATGAAATGCCCAGGGCTCCATTTGAAAAATCGCAATGAAATGCCCAGGGCTACATTTGAAATTTTGCAATGAAATACCCAGGGTATCATATTGAAAAATCGCAATGAAATACCCAGGGATACATTTGAAAAATCGCCATGAAATACCAAGGGTATCTATTGAAAAATCGCAATGAAATGCGCCAGGAATACATTTGAAAAATTGCAATGAAATACCCAGGGTATCATATTGAAAAATCGCAATGAAATACCCAGGGATACATTTGAAAAATCGCCATGAAATACCAAGGGTATCTATTGAAAAATCGCAATGAAATGCGCCAGGAATACATTTGAAAAATCGCAATGAAATATCCAAGGGATACATTTGAAAAATCGCAATGAAATACCCAGGGTATCTATTGAAAAATCACAATGAAATGCGCCAGGTATCCATTGAAATTTTGCAATGAAATATCCAGGGATACATTTGAAAAATCGCAATGAAATGCCCAGGGTATCTATTGAAAAATCACAATGAAATATCCAGGGCTGCATTTGAAATTTTGCAGAAAATGCACTGGGTATCTATGGAAAATTCACTATGAAATACTCAGGCCTACATTTGAAATGCCTTTCAAAAAATCCTAAGCATTATAGATATGGCCTCTAGGCTTAAGTCTAAGTTATAGAAATGACCCTCTAGGCTTGGGTCTAGGTTATAGAAATAAAGTGGTAGCCACTAGTGGCTTGAAGCTGGCGATGACATTCGACACACATGGCCCTACATTACTGCCCGGCCTCACATGCTCTTCACTGCACTTTACTTTGGTGACACACAAGATCGCACTTTTCCTCCCGACTTCACATATACTTCGCCATACTTCACTTTGCGGTCACATATATTCCACCATATCCTCAGCCATGCATTTACGTCCACACTATGCAATAATTTTGTGCATGCCAGAAGTGCCAGTGCTTCACCCCACTACTCTACGACGATCATGAACCCGCCCGCACATGGCACACCACCAGGTCCACGCCCCACACCAACCATTCACAAAAGGTTCCCTACTACATCACGACATTCTCGTCTTGCAGCCCCACCATTTCTTTCCAACCCCTAAAGCCCCCATGCCAATCGGAACCCAGAGCCATAGTCTATGTATACTGCATACCAAGAGATTTCGTCAGGCGGGTGTACACAAGATACATACGATGGGTGACTTACTAGCTCCCTGTCAATCATCCTATGCATTGGCCATGATATTCTCCAACTCATTACTTTCACCTCACCCGAGATTGCAGATGTCGAGGAAAGCCAAGTCTCAAGAGAGGGAGCATTTTTGATCTGGAATGTACCTGGACCGATGATTAAGGAGCAAGGCTGCCGGGCATCGGGAAACACATGAAACCCCGGCAACTGCCCCTGAGCCTTCACAAACACTATTTCCTGATGTCCGCTCAGCCCCTAACGACTTGCCGCCCGATGCGACTGTGGTCGACGAGGGGGAGATACCTTCACCCACATTAGCGATGCCCATACACACCATATTTGTACTCACATGAATGCTTTGTGTCGTCGCCCACACTCGCTTCGCCCAAAACCCTGCCCTAGTCCTACAGCAAGAGAGCGTGCCGTGTATTGTCAGAGGATTATCAGACGGCCGCTGGGGGATCAGAGGATCATCATGATGTCCACGGATGCACGGGGGAGGTACTTGTACTCACAGAGTCAATGTGCAACCCATTCCACCTACCACGCCCATCTTCACCAATCAGAATTCCCAACACACACATCTGTCGTGTCTGAACTTACACCACCGCCGTTTAGCTTCCCATCGCACGATCAACGCTCAGCGCTCAGCTCCTGTACTCACTCCACCACCCGAGCTAAGACACCAGACGTCCCCTTCTGCGCGTCAATGTTTCCTGCCATTGTCAGCTG